TTTGCACGCCTTGATTAAGCAGAATGTATAGGAACTGATATGTTTTAATAATACTCTTGTAATATCTACCTACCTTCTATGCAAATAAATAATGATGAATTATGAATTATGAATAATATGATTTTCGAAATTAAAAGTTACGTAATTTTAAAATAAAATTTTTAAAAACCATGTTGAAAGAAATTTTTGTTTCTTTACGGATATAATATTATACTACAACACGTACGAATTAACTTGAGACTCCGCTGGAATGCGACCCCCTTCCCGACTCCCCACACCGCGTCCCGCGCTGGCCGTGCGCGCTCAGTACCGATAGCATTTTTGTTACGGATACGCGTCTCGACTCTAGTTCGATATTTTTGATAATTGTTTGTTGTTTGGTTTGGACTTTTGTTTGTTTTTGTTATACTTGAACGTTATTTTATCTGTTTTTACTTTGATTTTACATAGTTTGTGCTGTTCCGCTTATCCAAGATTGATTCACTTTCACCCTAAGGTTGCCTGGGAGAGATTGCTTTTTAGCAATAAGGTCGCCTGTTATGCTTTGTATTTTTATTGTGTACGAATCTGTAACACTTTTTATAGTGCAATAAAGTGTATAATAAATAAATTAATAGTATTATAAATGAGAAAGTGTGTATGTTTATTTCTTTGTCCTTCCTTGACGCGTTAACTAAAAATAATATTATATATATTATAAAAAATAAATATTTAAAATATATAAAAATGGCAACAGTATATCACTTATTACTTCACCCCTTGCCAGAACATTTTATTTTGTTTTTATTAATAATCTCATGCAAATCTCAAAAATTTCAAATAAAAAAATATTACGACGCATTATTTTGCACACCGTACATTGACAATTACGTCATCGGCCCAGGTCTCAAGTTAATTCGTACGTACGTATGTATCCGGACTGACACGACTAAGAGACCTTTAAAAAATAGCTTAATCCTTTCAAAAAGGGGCCGGCAAAGCACCTGCAATTCCCCTATAGCAAAGAATATATACACTACGCGAAAAGAAACGACACTTAAGCATGTGTGCACGTAAAATCGCTTGCGGCTATTTATGGGTGTCTGGATGTGTGCGGGGGCCTTGAGAGGCGCGCGGGGCGTGGAACGGGCAGTCGCCGACTGCCCAGGCCGAGGGCTAGTAGTAATACCGATATTTGTCGGTATTAGTTAATATGTGTATATTCGTCAAGTGATATAATATTTCAATTAATATATGAATATTACTGATATTATTACTATTCTATTCATGTAGGTATTAAGTTTATGTTACCAAGTAACGTTATTCGTTTTTATAGCCGTGTATCCTATCCTATATCCTATACCTTTAAACGAGCAATTCTTGTATATATATATATATATATAGTCGGAATCTCGGAAACGGCTCCAACGATTTTCATAAAATTTTGTGTGCAGGGAATTTCGGGGGCAATAAATCGATCTAGCTAGGATTTATTTTTAAAAAATGTCTTTTTGTCCATGTTTTTAGGCAATGAAAAACTGCTACAATATTGTTAGAATAAGAAGGTAAATTTTGACGGTTTATTAATGATTACACATAGCTTAATTGGTATATAGGGCGGTCACAAAATCGTAATAGCCCAGACCGACCGACCGACCTTTTTTTAATTTTTTTTTCAAGTTCCTTTTTTGAGAAAATCTATTTTTTCGTGCCCTTTTTTTTAGTATTTTTTAAAACACGAAAATTTAAATTAAACTAATTGCACTCATGATTTTTATTCAAATAACCAGTTCAGTTTTTTCTATTATGTCGCTACGATCAAAAAATATTATTCGTATTTCATCAGTATGTAATTTGTATCTAAATATAATTTCCAAAACACACGAATTAAAAAAAAACCGAGCGAAAAATACCGAGCAAAGCTCGGTCAACCGGGTACTGCTAGGTTTATATGCTTTGATAAATATTAATGTTGTTATTAAATAAATGATGTTATAGTATATGTATAAGTATTACTGAAAGTGATTTTAAGTGATTAGAATTAAAATAAATTCCACTGCACAAAACAAGGACCCTTGTTAGTTTAATTTTTAATAATGTTTTATGATACCTAAAAATATGTGAACTCATTTTAATTAAAGTCGATATGATCTTAACAAGAATTATGGGGAAATAACATGACAATAAAACTAATATATCGCCAATAATTTTATTATATTACATTAACTGAAATATACACTATTAAAAATACCACTAGAGTCAAGAAATTTTAGATATCTATAAAGAGTTTTTATATTTGTTCATTGTTGTATTCATGGATTATTTCATTAGAAATAGAAATGACTTATCTCCTCAACATATAGGGAACAATTTGTTGGCCGCCATGTCCCAGGAAACTTGCATACCTTTGGATTTTCTAAAAAAAATATACATGCTACGAATTTTTGCAACTGTTAGAAATAATAATGAAAATTAAAAAATTAATCGAAAAATTCAAAAATATATGAGAGTAAATTATTTTTAAAGGGTAGTAGGTAATACTGATTATTGCGTACTGAAATAAGTGTTGGTTAATTATTTAAGATTACCATTAACTGTCGTGCATATTTGGTTTTGGCGGAAGTTTTAATATTCCTCATTTAATAAAAGTTGATTTAAAATTGAACGTATCTTTCACTACCCGAATACATAAGTTTACATAATATATAACACATACCTACTATGTATCTTCTTTGGTACAAGTCTATAATATTCCATTTCGGTTCGATATCAACCCTAGCGTTACACGCTTCGACTCAAGGTCACCGGCGCTTAAGCTCTCACGTACAGAGAGTGTCACCGCTGTGCCTATAGTCCGTTCGCGTTAAGAAAATAGTGAGTCATCGTTGTCACCGGCCTGGCCACGCCCCCCAGCCAATAAAAATGCAAGAAATTAGAAATTCGAGTTCACAGTGACCAGTTGAAGTCAGGCCTTCGAACAAAGCGGTTGTGTATTTTGCGTGTTACTCGTTCAAAATTAAATTTTTAAAATGAATACCTCACCTATTCGAAAGAATAAAAGTGAATCAATAATCCAGGATCCGGAGAGAGACGCGTAATTTACAATATTTATAAGTACTTTAAACTGTGCGATTTAAATGCGACTGTGGAGAGCACAGTAATAAAAACAGCAAGTGCATGTGGTGTTTCCGAAAATACTGTTTATAAAATTATTAGAGTACAAAAGGATACTAACACATTAAAATCACCCGTGAAAAAAAGAGCTCGACTATCGACGGTCAGTAAAATTAGATGAACTAGACAAATGTGCATTAAGGAGAAAAGTTAACTCAATATATTTAAATAACGACCACCCGACATTGGACAAAATTATGACACTTTGCCAAGCTAACGAAGATATTCCTGTTTTCAAACGTACTGCACTTCATAAAATAATGCACGAGCTTGGTTTCGATTTCAATAAACAGGATAGCAGAACATTGTTAGTTGAAAGAGAAGATATTGTTTTATGGAGGTGTAACTATCTGAGACAAATAAAAGAATACAGAGCCGCTAATAAAACCATTTACTATCTTGACGAAACGTGGGTAAACGCCGGACACGTAAAGACAAAATCATGGTTGTATAAAACGGTAAAAAATAAAAGACAAGCCTTTCTAGATGGCTTATCAGCCGGTCCAAAAGCTCCGACAGGAAAAGGTAAAAAGTTAATTGTATTGCACATTGGCCGCGACAAAGGATTCGTGGAAGATGGTCTACTAGTATTTGAATCTAAGTCTACAAAAGACTATCATAAAGAGATGGATGGTGAAAGATTACTTAATTAGTTCATTAATATAATGCCTAAGCTAGAACCAGGAAGTGTGGTTGTCATGGATAACGCTCCCTATTATTCGGTAAGAGTCAAAAAATACCAACAACCAGCTGGAACAAGCAGCAAATAATAGATTGGCTGCAAAGCAAAGGCAAATCCATGGACATGACTTATTTAAAAAAAGAATTATTAATGAAAGTTGCCGAAATCGCCCCACAATATAATAAATATTTAATAGATGAGACTGCCAAAAGTAATGGCATTACAATTCTTCGCCTACCACCTTACCATTGCAAACTTAATCCAATTGAATTGGTTTAGGCGCAAATAAAAAATTATGTTGGTGCCAATAATTCCACGTTCAAAATGAGTGACATAAAAAAATTATTAGATGACGCAATAGCATTAATAATCGTTGGAAGAAATGCTGCGACCACGTGATACGCGAAGAAAATACCATGTGGAATTTGGATGACATCATGGAACTTGCAGAACAAAATTCTTTCATAATTAATGTAACTGGAGAATCTAGCGATACTGATTAGTGATTTAAGTAATTTTAAGAAAATTTCTTTCCATTAAACTTAATTAAATGTTTGAAAAAAAAATGAATTTTTACTCCACTGTGAATACACCTTTACCCTGTAGTTGCACTGCTGACTCACTATGTTCTTAACGCGAACGGATTATAGTGTTGCAGTTATTTATTGGCGGCGATAGTTACTTACCATCTGGTAATTGCTTACCACTTGATTTCCCCTCTTCTATTAAAAAAAAAGTATTGTTTGTATTTTTGCATTTCTAGCGCTTTATTCTTTCCACGGTTAAGTTGGCGGTGTACATTTTGAATATCAATGATGAAAAACTGTGCCAAGCTGTAATGTAGGTGATGTTAACGACTATGGTTAACCTATTAATATCTAAGAAAAGGGACAATATTTGTTTGTCACTGCAACACTCACCTTATGAGACCATCTATTTTTATTCTTCTCTGTTATACGAGCTAATAAAAGCATTTTGATATTCTTTGTACGTCACACTATTTACGACGGGTATATTCGTTTTGATGAGCAAGCCGAATTTCTTGGCATTCATCCAACAATCGATTGTCCTGCGTCGGGAGTATAGTAAAGCTCTTTAAGCGACAAAGTTTTCATATCTTAATGTCTGAGGAAAAGAATTTTAATATTCTGTTCTTTTGTTCCAGAATCTAAAAGATCAAATCTTAACTACAAATGTTTGGCTGGAACATGTAAGTATGAATATTTTAATAACGTTCACCGTTCGTTTATTCCCTTTACCCTGTTTCATTTTGCGCTTTAACAATTTGTCTGAGACAAATAAAATGTTCCGATAGTTTCGTGCTTCTTTAGTTTTTTATTTTTGTTTTCAAATTTCACTAAAATAAGAGATATATCGTTATATTTTATTTAATATTTAATAAAGAGTCAAATTTTTACTATACAGACTTCAAAATTCTTTCAAATTAGATAAAAAATATAACGGCAGTAATATAAGAATACCGCCATCGTCAATCCTACAACAGTTGCTGGTCCTAGTTTAGTAGTAGAATTTTAAAGATTGAAAAAAAAAAGAATTCTAGAACAACGACCTCTAAAAACTAGAAACTTTTTAAATTAACTCCTAAAAAAATTCTATTCAAATCACAATTTTTTTAGGAATGGGAAGATCATAAATTCAAATGGGATCCTAATGAGTATGGTGGCGTCAAAGAACTTTACGTACCCTCGGAGCATATCTGGTTGCCAGACATCGTACTATACAACAAGTGAGTAAATCAACTGTCTCTTGTTAACTGCATCAACAGTAAATAATTCAGCGATCGCTACTGTTTGTGGACTAAGATTACTTAGTCCACAAACAGTAGCGATAAGAAGGTGGTAGTTTAACATGTTTGTTTAAATAGTTTAATGCTGGATAGAAACCTCTTTCAAATATTAAAAAATTATCACTATTCAAATATATAAAATTTTATTAATATTTGAATTATATTGATTTATATTAAATATTAAAATTTTAAATATTTAAAAATTATAATTATTCTGTGAACCATGTAGTGGTGGTGTAAGAATATCCACTACCCCATATCGTCCGGTCGCTGTCGTAAGAGGCGACAGAGGGAAACTGAAACGAAGATAGGCAGCAGCATCTTCCTAATAACAACTCAAAGTAATGAAAAACCCGCCTGCCAAGCGTGGCAACTATGGTGATATATTGGTGATTTTTATAGGCCGTAACGGATATATGGACATATTCTGTACATGACAATTATATATTAACACTAATATGTAGGTGTACACAGGAATTGCGTGCCTCTATTCCTCCCTCCTCTTTCTTTAGTCAAGTAATGGTTTGTCATGAGTAAAAAAAAACTGTTCTATTGTATTTGACCGTTAAGAAACTCAAAGAAATCATACGCCTGCAAAGTTTCTTTTATTGTTTCATCTGCGGTCGGTACGGTGAATGTTACTATAATTTAAACTGATGAAATTTTGATTCTAATTTCGAAAAATATTTACCAACATATTTCATTAAGTTTCATTTCATTTCTTCATAGAGCTACATAGACACATTTAAAAAAAGTCCTTATTTTGATAAAATTTAATTAGTTTCGAATATTAAATTATAATTTGTTGTTAAAATAGCTACATTATAGTAATATAAAATAAGCCTTTTGTTTCTGTAATCAAACAATGGCAAACTTTTTTACATTAATCTAAGATGGATAAAACTTTGGCATTTAAATAACATGCATTTTTTAAGCTATTGCATAGCTTCTATCGCGGGCCTTGAGCGCGGGGACCGAATCCAGAAATTCCGTAACGAAAAAAAACCTCACGCTCCCCACTCCGACGGGCACGGAGGCGTGGCGTTGAAAGCCGTGAATCGTCTAACGTCGTTTTAGTTCGGCAGACTTCGGCACTTGGCAGACTTCGACACGGTGTTTGTGTGCGTGCGACTAGACGTATGCGTGTACACTAGCTGCTAACTCAATGATAAAAATTCCTGAATAACCTACATGTATTGTAAGATATTAAAAAGCAATATTAACTTCTCATTTATTCAATAAGAGAAAAAAAATTGTTTTCTTATCGGACACCACGCTCAAAAAGTGTAACTTGATTTAATATCAAAGACTTAACTGCATAAATAAAATAAATAAATAATTATAATTGCATAAGTTGATAAAAAATGCTATGCAATAGCTTTACCGCGGCAGTCACCGAGTGCCACACGTATATTTTTTTAATTTTAATTTTAGTTCGGACCCAAATAGGGCAAAGGCCTACTCTATCTTTTTCCATCTTTTTCTGTCCTTCGTCTCTCCTGGCCAAACATTTTCTAATTTTACGATGACGTAACTTCACCTAACTTTAAAGTTGCCGGGATTTCTGGCACCCGATGAGGCAAGCCTAGCACCTGGTAGTCAAACATGGAAATGTACAAAGGTGCTTACTGTGTATAGCTGTATGAAAGTTCACGATGGATTAAAGTTTTCACCATGATGCTTGAATTTATTTTATTACGTAATATTAATATTTAGCTGCACAAAATGATCATGTACTTAGCAGTATATAGGCATTGAAATAAATAAACAGTGCATCGAAAATTTCCATTTACAACTTGTTATAATGCGATCCCCTTCGCTTGGGCGCTCTGCTGTAATTCTCGTATAAGTTGGCCTAAACAATGCAATTTGGTTACAGCTAATGGGCTAATGTCCTAATGAACGCTTGAAGACTAAGTTGCACGGGATACACAGTATGCACCAATTACTTCTCTCTCATATGTGAAATTTCCACATAATGTATCATATATGTATAAGTGTAAATTTAGTCAGTTAATATTGTAATATATTTTGGTCATTTCTTTGTCAATTTAGGCTTTGATTGTTTTACAAACCGTATACGCTGTTGTAGCACTACAATCGTGCTGCCACTATATATATATATATATATATATATATATATATATATATATATATATATATATATATATATATATAAATCCATCACTAGTGCCCTAAAGTTGATGATCTCTGTTAGTAGGCATTTAAACAATCCCATACTTTATTTCATTCATTAATGTTAGCCTTCTTGAGTCACCTGTTGGATATGGGCCTCACCCAAGGATTGCCACAAAGTACGGTCCCAAGCCGCTCACGTCCCTTCTAGTTTCTGCTTTTTATATAAAATAATGTTAACAAACGAGCAAAAAGTTCACCTGATAGTAATTATATACGTGGTAGAGCCATGCTGCAGTTATATTAGATGTATAGTTGTAGCACGAATGGGTCGGCTCGACCGGGGAAGGACCACGCTCTCACAGAATACCAGCGTGAAATAGTAGCTTAATGTTGCTGTATTTCGTATGGTGAGTGTAGAAAACTGGCGACCCATTTTACTGGAAACGAGGCATTCCATCTTAGTCCTCACGGGTGACAACACATCTGCATTTTGATTCATAATCGAGGATAGATGTAGATGTCTATGGGCCACAGCAACCACTTACCATCAGGTGGACTGTGTGCTCGATTGTCACCCTATCCTATAAAAAAAATTGAATGCTGTGCCCGATAGACATTCACATCATCTACCCTTAAATCAAAATTCAGATGCGACTGCTGATCATGAGGTCTTGGGTTCAAATCCCGGGTCGGGCCAAAAAATTTACTATTGAGTTCTTCGTCAAGAAATTCTCAGTAGTTGCCCGGAGTCAGGAAGTTGGCGGTGTCTCACCCCCCCTGCCTCGGAAAGCACGTAAAGCCGTTGTTCCTGCGCCGGATCTCTCTCCGGTCGTGTCGGTTCACCGTCCCATCGGATTATAAGAGTGAGGGAATAAAGAGTGCACCTGTGCTTGCGCATACTTGGGCACTATAATCCTATCCTGCGCCGATGGCTAGAGGCAGACCGCCGTGGCCGGAATTCGGTCTGGAGGACAATATATATATATATATATATTTATATATATATATATATATATATATATATATATATATATATATATATATATATAATAAAATCCATCACTTGTGTCCTAAAGTTCACATGACCTCTATTCGTAGGCGTTTATACAATCCCGTACTTTATTTGTTCATTAATGTTAGCCTTCTCGAGTCACCTGTTGGATATAGGGCTCACCCAAGGATTGCCACAAAATGCGGTCCTAAGCCGCTCACGTCCTTTCTAGTTTCTGCTTTTTTATATAAAATAATGTTGGCAGACGAGCAAAAAGTTTACCTGATAATAAGTGAATGCTGTACTCGTTAGACATTCACATCTACCCTCAATTAAGAATCAAAATGCAGATGCTTTGATACCGCTGAGGACTAAAGTAGAATATCTTGTTTCTAGTATATAGATACGAATCACAACAGCATTAAGCTGCTATTATAGGTTGGTATTCGGTGAAGGCGTGGTCCTATACCTTAGTATTAAGAAGTCAGGATTTCCTCCCTTCTCCGATGCATGCATATTTGTCCATTAGAAAGTCGGCGTGTGTGACATTCGGTGGACAAAAAGTTACATTATTTAAAATAGAGGATTTAAATAAAATTGTGGCTGATAAATAATATAATTCAGTAACAGGTACGTGGTATAGCCATGCTGTAGTTATATTAATAGTACAGTTGTAGCACGAATGGGTCGGCTCGACCGGAGAAGGACCACGGTCTCATAGAATACCAAACTATAATAGCAGCTTAATGATGTTGTGTATCGTATGGTGATTGTAGATAACCGGAGGCCCTTTTCACTGGAAATCAGATATTCTATCTTAGTCCTCACGGGTGACAACGCATCTGCATTTTGATTCGTAATAGAGGATAGATGTATATGTCTGTGGGTCACAACTACCACTTACCATCAGGTGGACTGTGTGCTCGTTTGTCACTCATCCTGTAAAAGAAATTATCAAAAAATATTATTTGGTTAAGTATAGCTTTTAAAAAAGAGAGATATATATCTCTTATTAATATAAAGTATTTTAAAAATCCATTCCATTAAGAATTTCATTGAGTATTTCATGTATGCGCATATTTTTTCGAGTCTAATATGTAGATTATTTCAAGAAGTATAAATTCTCTCGCGTCAAAATCGTGTCTAAAATACAATATTTCAAAAGAAGCATTGCTTAGTTAAAGGGTTAATAAATAAATCGGGAAAAATTTAATACTATAGTAAACAAAATCCAAAGTGTCAAAACCTTACAATATTATGTTGAATTCTGTATAAGAACAACGTCCACAAAAGTCAGCCCCAGGATTACTACTTCGTCACACTCACGTTATCTGTGATACGCAATATTGCACACATGTCGTGTTACAGTTGGCAGGACGTGAATAATGATGCGAGACTCTAAGGTGACAAGTATGATTAAAAATATTGAAAATGTGTTTGATAATAAATTAAGGAAGAAATGTTGTAGCTTCCCTTTTGTTTTTTTTTAATAAAATATATTATCACAATGAAATACGTACAGTAATAATTTACAGCCAATATACGTCCCACTCCTGGGCACAGGCTTTCTCTCATTTCTGAGAGGATTTTAGGGCAAGGAAATATCAGCCGCACTGCGTCTAAAACATGTTAGCGAAGGTCTTTAGCAAGGTAACAATTTAATTGGTGGCGACGAGGATCGCACCCGGGTTACTTGCATACTGTGAAATTACAACGAGTGCTTATTCCCTGAGCTATAAGAGATAAAATAGGCAAATAACTAGTAGGCGCTACCGTTTATGTATAGGTATGTGTTAATAATTTTGATAAAGTAC